AGAAACTCTCTAATGTTTTAACCATTGGAGATGCTCTAAGAGCATCAGCATTGGTGAACTTTTAATGAGTTTAGAGCACTCTTCTCAGCATTGGTGAACTTTTAATGAGTTTCACAGATTAAAAAATAATAAATATGAATTAAAGGAAGAAAGAGAATGGTGAGAGAGTGTCTTAAGTGTCCGTAGGATAAAACGTTTCATATCGTTATTTAGATACTTAAGTACAAGTGTCATAATTTAATTTGTTACATATGTTTTTGATGTTTTAAAAGTTAAATAAATAACTAAACTAATTTTAAATTATTAACTTAGAGAAAATTTGAATTGTTTACCGATAATGATGCTCTAAGTGGTCTTAAGAACTTCATTTCATTTGCTTCCAAAAGAAAAAGAAAGATTATAAACTTCTATTACCTTTAATATACTTATTTAACTTTTTATAATTGAAAGACTTTTTCTTTTTTGAATTCTCAGAAACTATAATTCCAAACCTAACTAATTAACCTAACTTGAATGGATATGATTGCCACATAGATTTTTTTTTTTTAATTTCCTAATTTTATTTCATTTTTGGTTATTGAGCAAATTAGGCCAACATAGCATGCCACTCTTTTGTTTTTGTTTTTTCGGTATGATGCCACTCTTTTGTTGAAACAAGTCTCAAACAAACTAGAGGTATACCTTTTCTTTTCCTCCTAAAAAAACAACCAGAGATATCAGAATATTCGAGTAGTAATGTTGGGGCACGCTTGATTGGATATCGAATTTTTTAGGTCGATGGCATTAAAACGTGGGTCCGAAATTATTATTTTGTTCTATAATAAATGAATCATTACTATTATACAGTCTATAACCGCGTGTAAACAGATGTTCGAATTTAGTTTTAAAAATTTCAGTATATAACCCATTTATTATACAAATCCAATATATATATATATACCCTAAAACCCATGTATTGCACGAAAACCTTAAAAGTATATATAGTTCTTCCATGCGTAAATCAAATATTCAACGTCCTGTCGTCATATAACAAGACGTTGATAGTCAAATGGATAAACTATTTTTCTTTTTTAAAAAGTTGAGACTTTAAACATTTGAGCTTAAATGCGTATTTATATATATTAAATCTATAAAAATCAGCTGAAGATAAGAAATACCGATTCAAAAATTTATAAATTGTGACCGCTTGATAATTACTTAATTCTCATTATGATTTGTAAGATTAATAAAGCAACCCTGAATGATATTTCCGAGTGCCACATCTTCATTAAAAGTAAGAAAAAGGACTAAAGTAGAATATAAATTTGATATACGTTGAAAGTTTGAATTAATTAAAAACGTATGGGTAATCACTAATCAGTGTCTTATTCTTATTCCTAAAGACCAGCAACTTCTTAATTTAATATTTCACGTGGAGTGTTTTTTTTGCTGTTGACTAACATTTAGTATCTATGCTTTTTCAAAAGAAAAAAACATTTAATATCTATGAATTTTTGAATTGATCAACTCTTGTACTAGTTGACAAAAAACCAAAAAAAAAAAAGAATTGATCAAATCTTGTACCTACGATGAGAATTGAGAAGCTAGAGACTTGCTTTGTTTGTTTAGAATTCACATATAGTCAAAGTATTCGTAGTTGACTTCTTTCCTCAACGCTACTTTGATTTTTTTTTGGCTCATTTTCACATGAATAGGTCTTATAACTTACTAGTATACGTAGTATAACTAGTTACTCTTGATTTGATTTTATTTATTACGAAAAAAAAAAAATTACATCATGT